TCTCTCTCTCTCTCTCTCTCTCTCTCTCTCTCCGTCTGAAAGAAATTCCAATGTTCTGAAACTGTAATTCTCGAGTTCATGCTAATCAGTTGGGAATTGTTGATTTAAGTTATTGACTAGCATATATAAAACCTTTTGTAAGGCCAATGTTTAACCATTTTGTCGTATAGTTCTTTCAATGTCATAAAAAAAAAAAACGAATGAATAGTTGAATATTCAATTTTACTTCATACCTTTCCATTTATTCACATTAGTAGTTCTTATTTTACTATTTAATTTTCTCCTGAGAAAGAGAGGGAGAGAGAGAGAAAGAGAGAGAGATTTAAGGAGATAGCATAAAATACCAATATTGTCCGCAATTTGCTGAACTATTTGACTTTTAATTAAATGTAGCTTATCCCAAAGATTAATTCAAATAAATAACAATTACGATATGTAGTTTGAGGCAATAAAACTTGAAGTACTAATAACAACAATTAGTCCTACTGTAATGATAATGATATGATGCTTTCGTTATGGATTACGGTAGGCATATATATATATATGTATATATATATATATATATATATAAATGATCAAATTGGCTTTTTTATGTAATCCTAAGCTGTAATTTGTGTTTGAAATTAGTATTTGGTTAGGATAAAATGTTTGGCAATGAAATGATATGTAAATGAGCTTTTATCTAATCATTTTCTATATCATCCAAAAAGAAAAAAAACGTACAAATTTTTCATTTTAGACGAACTTGCAAATCTGAATCTTCTCAATTGAACTTTGAAAAGTTATGCGAATAGAGATTGAGAAATATAGGAAAATAGAGTGAGAAATGAAGGGTAGAGAAAGAAAAAAAACGTAGATTGCTATTTATTGTTTCTCATTTTTAGTCTCACGAGTAAAATTTAATTTTAAATTTGATGACTTACCATTAGATGGTAACGTAATTCTAATCTTTTGCCATTCCATAAATAGACTTTTGGGGACTGGGGAATGTTTTCTTTTTTTAGCTAAAAATGAGGAAAAAAATGCAGCATCAAAAATCCTTACATCTTATATCATTTCATTTTATTTTATTTTACTTCACTGTGTTTTATTTCATTTCAGTTCAATTCATTTCATTTCGTTTCATTTCATTTCATTTCAGTCCAATTCATTTCATCTCATTTCATTTCAGTTCAGTTCATTTCATCTCATTTCATTTCAGTTCAACTCATTTCATTTCAGTTCAATTCATTTCATTTCAGTTCAATTCGTTTCATTTCACTTCATTTCAATTCACTTTATTTCATCACTTTCCTTAAAGCGAAATAATTTAATATTAGGAAAGGAAAAAAACAAAACAAAGCAAAAAATCATCGCTAAAAACGTATCATTTTATCATAATAGTATTTTAATTAATTAATTGTAACTGGTCAAAAGCGTGTCAATAGATATCAGCTTAAAACTTAAATTAGAATTTTAAGAAGAGATTTTTCATCAGTTTCTTTACCAATATCATCGGTCGCTCACCTTCCTATCTAAATGATATTAATCTCTAAAGAATGCCATTTCAGGTCTGGTTCCAGAATCGGCGTACAAAGTGGCGGAAAAAAGAAGCAGCAGATAATGCGTTGGTAAAACGTGGCGAAACGCTTGATTCTACGGGACGCTCACAACAGTTACGTGGTTTAGCGTCGTTCTTATCACCATCCAGTTGATAGCGTCGTTCTTATCACCATCCAGTTGAATTACACATCCATCCAATTTACTTCTTCATCATTTGGCCAAATCTGTCACTTCATGTTTTCGGTAGTTTGCAAAATTGCATAAAGGCAATTTTAACTTGAAACTTGAAAAGATTATTTTAAAACATTTCACTTTCGTAATTTCAATCGAATTTCTTATTTTCCTTATACTCCATCTATGTCAATTAATCTTTGAACTGCAAATTTGTCATTTGTATCCAAATTGGCATCTCATATTGATTTATTCGATCAACTGAATTATTGTGGTATATATCTTGATCTCGTTCGCTAATCGCTAATTTGCATATTATCATCCTTTAATTGTATGTTTTGTAAAATCCGTCGTTGAAATCCCATTAGATCTATTTGATTAAAAAAAATTTTAATGTTTTGCGTATATCACGTGTTTCTGTGTTTTACGTACATCAGGTGTTTCTGTGTTTTACGTCAATCACGTATGATGTGTAATGTTTGTATCCGTGTGGTTGTGTTTGATCCGTTTCTTCATTCTGTTTTCTGTATTCAAATTATAATGGCCTAATTTAAATTGAAATATTTCCGCTTCAATTTCAAGTATTCATTTCTATGCCTTCGGATTTTATTACAAGTTCATTTCCAATTATACAAGACATTCATCTATAATTATACAAAAGAAAAAAAAACTTATACGCTCAAGAGCTTACCTTTTCTTGTCTTCTTTGTGCTATTTTTTTTTTGATTTTCTTCTTGTTTTTTAAATTTAACTTTATTATGAAGTAATTTATCGCTTACAGCTTATGGGAAATTTGATCGAGAATAAAATAGGGGTCAATTACTGATTGAAAAATTCCTAAAAAAACACTTTTTGATTTTCAATATTTCACAAAAATTTAGAAAAAAATTTTTTATGAAAATTTTTGAATTCCTTTCAATTCCTTACCTTATAACTTGTATATGCCTTATTCAAAAGCCTATTATCTGATAATAATTTAAGGTTATTGTAGTACTTCACAAATAGGTATAACTCAAAATAACTGCCGAAAATGTGAGGTTTGCTTGTGCAATAACAAAGTAATCAAAAATTAGAAAATTTTCTTGGTGTTATTATCACAGGTGTTGAAAGCATACAAAAGGGTAGAAATAAAGGAAAGTTTTGATATCGTGATGTTGTCATTATGAATAGCTGTGAAAACAAATGTAGTCTTCCTGATTATTTTTCTGACTTATTCATTTTCAGAAAATACCATGTATAATCTTCCTTAGTTTTTCATACCGTTTGTTACATCGGAAATGACAATTCTGGACAGTGTGAATTGTTAAATTAATACATATACTTAAGATATATTTACATCAAAATAAGTTTTTGTTTTCGAGATTAAGATGCGCAATTGTCATCAATATAAAACGAAACTTATCGATGAATAAGACCTGAAACATTCGGTTGAATAAATTAGTGATTCAAATCAATTCTGATTTATAGCAATTTATAGCAATTATTAGATTTATGGAATAAAACTGAGAAAGATTAATTAGTATAGTCTCATGTTTCACCAAAAAAGGACGCCAATATTTAAATACTTTACCTGTCTCGTCATCTTCAACAACAGCAATCTTTGGAATTTAAATTGACACTTTTTATGAACACTTCTGTAATTCGTTAAAATTTATTATAGCAGAATCACCATATAATTCGTAAATAAAATCTATACATATACTAATTACCAACTTTCTAAGTCATTAATTAATAATCTAAAGGACTTGTCAAATTTTCCAAAATTTCTTGAATGAAAAACAATCAACTGTTATCTATTTACCACTGCAGTTCTGGTAAATGCTTAATTCGGGATCAATTTCTGTATCATTTAAGAAAAATTCGCCCATTTTTATCGTTTCTTTTCTGAGCTAACAAATCATTCATGCTAACTGCAATTGTTAAATTTTAATTAAACTGTTAGAAAATTTGATGACAGCTCATCTGTCACTAATCAAATATAATATAAAGCCAAGCTATGATATAACAACGATTTTACGTAAGAATAAAGTTGAATATCAACAATTCCAAATGATTACTTGGTATTTCTATACCGTAATATTAGTCGCAAGTTGAATCAGCATGAGAAAAGGAAAGATGAAAGAGATGAAGCTTATTTTTTCAATATGCTAAAGTTACATTTAAAATTTTCTTACCAAATTTACTTAACTAAGTTAATCAAACCACCAGTTTATATAGCTTAATTTTTACATTTGGAGCCGTTGACTATTTCAGCTGCACTTTGACATGAAATAAACTAACCTGTCTTATTACAGGTACCATTATTATAAGTAGTGTTAGAGTCAAAGAATTTATATCGAAATATTTTGATTAAATATCAAAATTAAATTGCTTCACTTATTTATTTATATTATTTTATAAAAAAAGAAAAAGCTAACAAATTAATAAAATTCACTTAAACGTCAAATTCAAATATTACTTTAAATCGGAAAAGTGTCATTAATAAAAAGTATTATTCGAGTTCTTACTTTATAGAATCTACTGAGAGGAATTTTTGTTCAGATTATTTGTGACACTTGAAGTAATAGTATTTCATATGAGCGAAAAGTTTAATTAAACCGATTTCTCTCAATAGTAATGAAAAATTGATCATATCCTTCAAAACTTTTCAAAAAAGTTTTCAATTCTAATTAAAATTCTTTAAATTCACGTGATTTGTAATTTTTTAATATGGAAACATAAGAAAATCAACAATTGTCTAGCATACCCCTTTTTTCCATTGATATGAAATTTTAATTAGTTTAATTAGTTAGAATTTAATCACCCCACCTCCCAAAAATATATGTGGCAGGTATAGAAAACAGTTCATGGAATAATTTATTAATAATTTTTTTTTTTGAAATTTACGTAAATAAGATATTATTATAACACACATACAAATTTAATTTATTTCATTCCGAATGAAAAAATAGAAAAAACGAAATCAAAATCAAAAAATAAAATTGCAAGAAATGTTCCGTATGTGACAGTTGACTTAATCATTGTCTTCAAAGATAGCAATAAATACAATTACAGGTAGACCAAAAGAATGATCAATTTTCTTTCCGATTAAAATGATTCGGGGAAAGGCGAAAAACCTGTTGTCACCTCTTATTATTCGCTTGTAATTATTTGAAAGAAAGAAAAAAGAAAAAAGAGAAAAATAATTTATGTGAGCAAAAGATTTTTATCCATCAATGGGAAAGAAACAAACGAAAAACGGATTAAGCGGTTTTGTAAAATTCAAAAATCTGTCTTTTTTTTGTTGACAATAAAATGCGCAAAGGACAATTTTTTAGATGAGCTGACAACCGGGTTCACTTATACAATTTAACATTTTACCTGCTTTCTTTTTTTAAAAAAAAACTTCACTTTGATTTTGAACAGTTCCACTTTATTTGGAATTTGGTCAAAGTAAGTTTAGGCATTATTATTTGATGGAATTGGATGAGTTTTGTTTCTACACTTTACTAGCTTTCCACTTTCATTTTTTTTTTGAAATAAATTTTTTTTACGATAACTTTAATAACACCAAGAAAAACATGAAAAAATTCCATTGGGAAGTATCGGAAAAAAGGAATCGACTAATGATATTTAAATTTAAATTACCTGAAAGTAACTTTTGGTAGTAAAACTCTCAAACTAATAAGTAATAAAGGACTCAGTGAGATCAGTAAGGTATAAACAGGATGTTTTATGCATATCAAACATTCTGATTAATCGAATTGATCAGTACCGTTTTCTTTAGATCAATATCATCTACAATTAAATGATATCATTTCAGGATCGAAAATATTTTGATAACACAAAGATTACTTGCTAATAGCAAGATTTTTGATGAAATATTTGGAATTTTGGTCAAAATAACGTTTAAAAATTGCTTTCAAAAATGTCAAATAAAAATATTTTTGGGACAAATTGATGAGGAAAAAAAGTGGATAAATGAGAAATTGTACACTGATAGAAATTATATTTTGATGAATTTGACGGATTACTTCAATACGACATAGTTGAATTTACAAAATTTTGCTTCCCCCATTAATGATGTCAAATTTGAATTAACCAAAATTAACTTTTCATAATAAAATCTCCAAACTCATAAAGTTATCAAAAATTATTGTAAACAGGAATTTATTCCGATAGTTAATATTATGAATTTGATAAAGAGTTGATGTTATGATAAAATTATGATAAACAAATCTGACCTCATACTTCAACAATTCTTTGCCAACTATTTCATTCGCAACACTTTAAATTTGATAAAACTCAACATTCTGTTTGTTCATCATAACTTTGTCATAACATTATGCTAATTGATCAGTCAACTGTAATTAAATCGAAATGTTGGAGTCAAAATACTGATCTGTTGAATTTTTGGCTTCCAAATTTATCACTCTATCATTGACATGGTATCACTGTCATCAATATTACCCTTGTCATTGTCACTGCCATCTTTTTATTCGTCTTTCTTCAGCTCTTCGTTCCTGACATCATCCATCCTTTGAGTAGTGCATGCGCCTTGCGCTCTTGTCAATATTGACTTCCCTTCACATCTTCCCCCTTTTTTTATTGTTATCAGTGAGAGATGTCTTTTTCTATTTTAACCAAAATTTTCCGATTATTATATTCATTCCACTAGTTTTGATTTATTCATTCAAATAATTAAGCTTTAAATAATAAACCTCTAGAAGATAGATCAGAACGTTTAGCTTTGAGGTATTACTTTGGTGACCTTGGAGATGATGTGATTCATTCACTTTCGCATATTTATCACTGTCCTCTTTTTACTCTTCCTCTATCAACTGATACTCTAAGCTTTTGTTTTTAATTCACTCTGTTGATGGAATTTCTCAGAAAGACCAGATTTACTCTATTTGATAACATTTCAATATTCACCTCTTGAAAGTTGTTAGCTATATAAAAAAATACAAAAGATTAAGTGGAAAAATTATCGAAGAATTGCATCAAGAAAGATAAGATAAGGTTTAAGGATGAATCATACTATCCGGATGTTTAAGTTCCTAGCTTATCATAAAATTACTGGTGCAAGATAATAAAGCAATGGTGTATAACAAGAACCGTAGCTTATCATTTACACTTATCCTAGCTTATTATTTAACTAGTCGATCGATCAGTTTCAGTAAATTTCTATTAAAGCTTTCGAAGATTACAAATGCAAATATGATCTATTTTAATTAAAATATATTTAACCTGCAATATCCACTAGTGATGGTAATGAATCATCGAAAAATTATCAATGATATGGCTTCATGCATTCATTCACTCAACACTGACACTTCGATAGGGCATGATTGCACATGAATTACAACTTGTGGTATTTTTTCTAGTCACCATTGTCACTTTAATTTTAACTTTCGAAGAAGGTAAGTTTTTCTTATGAGATAATTCAAACTATTTTATTTTTATAAGTAATGCGTCGGTATTGTTGAACTACGGAATGGTTTACCTACTAAAACTTTCCAGTTTTCACATAATTTCAGGTATTAGTTGATATGATCATTTTGAAGGGCTGATGACATGCACAAAAGAATAGGCCTGTTTTCTACATTTACTTCCATTCAGAGCTTAAAGGTATAGCCATGAAAGAGAAAGGGAGGAAGAGAAAAGCCAAAGAATTGAGAAACTTTTATTATATCATTCAGGATATCTAGAAATTCTTATCATATTATCCAGGAAATTTTTAGATGGATGTCGTCTGAAATGGAATGCAACTTATCACATGAGTGGACGTACAGCATTATTAAAGCTCAATGAAACTTGGATGGATACTTTGGGTTATTGCATTGTCAGCTCTTCAAATCATCAGAATTATATCTTTCGGCTTGAATTGTAAGTGCAATTAATCACTCAGTTGATGATTTTTTCTTTTTTTAGAGGAGATCGCCAAAGAATTGATGACAAACTAAGTCTATTTTTTCTTCCTCAAAACTTTGTATTCTGTATTTATTTTGAGTGATTTCCAGGAGCAATAGTATTTGCTATCGTTGTGTTGCAATCTTCAATGTCCATCCTAACATTTTACAGTATAAGCAAAGTAAGTTCCGTTTCCTAATAACTTACATCGAATGATAGCTTTTATTTTGTGTAGCTAATCAATCTCTTTCATCTTATTCTTAACTATTCATCGCTTCGTTTTTTTTTCTTCCTAAACAAAAATACAATTTGATGTCTAGTATTAATATGTACCACTCATTCAAAAGCTTTATCAAAAGGAAAAAAATGATGACACTGATGCATTAAAGGTGGATGTATTAAACAGTATGAAAGTAACAATAATGATATCGATAATATCTGCAGATTTGCATTCCGTGGTGATACACCGATGAAAACACTTTTTCGAAGTAACTTTTTCGAAATAACCGTTCAAAATATGGAAAATACCGGTTTCGGCATAAAACAAAAATTCACTTACTGTACAGTAGAGAGATTAATATTTGAAGTTAAAATATCAAGTCGTTGTCAGCGTTATCATCTCATTCTGAACTGACCAGTGATAATTGGGGAAGAATGCGAATGAATTCCCCCCTAGAAAAATTATCTATTTCAGGTGACGCAAAATCAGAACAATGTCCATTTGAGCGATCCTTCAATTTCACCTACATAATCCAAGATGGTTCATGTACATCGAGAGTGTCATCTGCAACCGTTTGTTCTGAATATGGAAAATACCGATTTCACTATGAAGCTTGTCCGGAATTACCAAATTACGAAAGCCATGGCAAGTTACAATATAAAAAAAGAACCGTTAACCAACAATTTTCAAGTAAAAATGACGATTGAAAAATGATAGATAATATTCACGACCTTTCTACTTCTTAATTCTCAGTGTTTCAGAAGACGAGTTGGAATGCATAGCACACTGGAATTCGTTTGGGGCAGAATTCTTCGCTGTGCGCATAACTAATTCTTCAATCACAGGACCAAATACAATCTTCCGATGTCTTGTATGATTCAGTAGTTTTTCGAAAATCTTCCAAAAAAATATTGTTTGAAAAGTATTTATAACCCGAATAGAGTGGATATTGAAATGTTAACGATAGCATATCATGAATTATGGGAGGGAATAGAAGCGATACGGAAATTCATCAACCAGAAAAATCTATTTCAACAATTTTGCTTGTTATTAAAGCTCTTACTACACTTTCACGGAGAAGCTGTCTAAATTCATCCATCACTTCCAAGTCTAGTAAATATCAGAAGTATTCAGCTCCAAATCATCCATTTTCCATCTGGAACAATTTTGAGGTTGACTTCAGATACACCAGAAAACAGCGTTTGGAGGTCGCATAGGTGTATCAGCTGATTCTAGCTGCAATGAACTAACGGATCTTATATATGCTGGAACGATAATTGAATACACGCAAGGTAGCTGAATTTTCAGTTTTCCAACGAATCACATCAGATTCACAATTTTAGAAATCCCAGAATTATAGCCTAAGATTTTGAAAACATGAAAGTTAATTAAAACATTTTTTGAGGCTCACCTTTCAAGTCACCTTGTCACTTTCCATCATTTTTGCGGCATAGCCATAAGTCATCCAGCAAGCATACATGGATATCGATGACAACCGGTTCAATTAATGATTTCTATTCCGGTAAACTCATTCGAATCTTTCTTTTGGAAACTTCGATAACTAAAAATTCAAAATTTCCATTCGAATTCATCTTACTATCCATTTCACGGATTCTTTTCGTTCCCATTCAAAGAGATGAACAAAATATTCAATATGAACGTAGTTGATGCGTTTATATACTTGACAACATGACAACGATGACAACAACGACTAGATATAACCAAATATGCCAGAGATATGGAAGCAAGCCAAGAATAGGCATGGGACTGTGTACGCTGGTTAGGACAGTAATTATAAGCTTGTCATGCATGTGGACACGTGCAAATTTATTCGATAATCGAAAGGTGACAAATTTAGATAAATGGGTCGAAACAATGAATGGGATGAATCATACGGCATCACAATGTATACAAATGGAAGATATTGGAAATGTTCATAAGATGGTGATTTATAAGACTACACAGCAATGTGTCAACGGATACCAATGCATCAAAGTACACATACCAACTGTCACAAATGTTCACTTCCCAGGAATAATTTTACAAGGATGGGAAGGAGTCTTTTCACAGCGACCACAGCGATGTGCCACCGTCATTGTCACTCGACGATTCCGGGAAGTAATGTAGCAAACCAAATCAAGCTGAATTCTCTACGGTTTGCTAGAACAGTTTGGGTCGCTGGATTATAACGTTGTAGATTCTTGATTCATTATGAAAAATGTTATCCTACCACACGTTGCATGGCACTACAAGGATGTGGTGGGAAAAGAATCAGTCGATACCGGATTTGTGAAGGATTTTTTTGAATTCGAGCTTAAAAATGACACGGAATACAGCAATCTTAAGATCAATCTGAATTTTTGGAATTTCTAGGCATAAATTGAGATTGGAATTTTTGCAGCTTGCATATATAAGCTTAAATCAAAATGTATAAGTTTAAATCTTGAATCAAAATTTAATTTAAAGTTCGGCTGAGAAAAGGGCAATAATTTTGTTTACATTACAGATGAAATTTAGACATAAGAATGTCATCGAAATTACATATGATGAGATGATGAATGAGATGCCTATATCATGTAACTTCATCAATGATCATTCTGTTGATACAATGGCTCTTGTAGATGCTCAGGTTATTTAGCAAATTATTGCTCATATTATGGAGTGATTTAATATTTGATATTAGGAAATCATGTTGTGTTAAATAGTATTGTATATGTTTACCAAAGGCAGAATGACTTTTTGATCATCGGACGACCCTGTCTTCTTTGCATACTTGGTTTTGTTGATGAAATTGAAGAAAGATTTGAAATACTTTGCAATTTTGCTAATTCCATATAACATATCTTATTTTTTAGGTTGTCCGTTGTCCATTTAGTCGCCAATATTTCATCGAATCATGCACGGATTCTGTTGCACAATTTGGTTGCACTTATGATCACGAATTAATTATGCGTCACAATTGTAGTAATCCCTCATCTGGTAGAATTTCATTATTTGCTGAATCATTCCAACATAAATTGACATGAGTCACCCTTTTCTCTCTCCTTCCCTCTCTCCCTTTCTTCTGCTCTTTCCGTTGAAAACTTCTAATCGACACTATAAAACTATTGAACTCTGTTGTCATAATGCATTGATCATTCCTAGTACTGTGTACCTTGTAGTACTGAGTTTTATTCATGCGTTAATTTAAGGAGTCTAGCCACCTTAAATTTAGCAGATATATTGAAATGTGAAATTAGTTAAAGAATTGCAGTTTTCTGGTATTAATTGGTACCTCTATACCATCGAGTTTTTTTATTTTCTGAGATTGAAGTCTCTAATTGGTGATTCTGTATCATTGATGTTTTGTTGAGATTGAATTCTCTGAAAATGGAGTAGATATATAAAATGTAATGGCACATGCTAAATAAGTAGAACTCAAACATCGTTGTAAAGTCTTTTACTGCAGAGAAATTCTTTTGTATCGGTTACTGGCGAGAAAACGAGATGCAATACATCGTAAGCAGAAGATCGATCTCCTCAGAGCTTATATGCCATGTAAGCATTCATCCTCAAGCTTCACAACCTGTCCTTCCTTACATATCCCTCGAAGTCAGTTCATCTGTCCTGAATTAGCATTTGTCTTAACCATATTATTGAATAAGGACATCACAATACGTTTTGGGAATTGGAAAGTAAATAATATTGTGTTAGCCATGATATTTCTCAAGTATTATCCTAGGCATATCGTTTCTCAACTATTGTCTCTTTTTTTTTCTCCGCTGTCTTGTTGTTGAAATGTATGGTGACTTTAGAGCCATATAGTCCCATATATCTGGTATGCAATTGTATACCACGTCGTGTTTATTTTATCCATAGAACATAATCCATCTTCGTATATATCTTTGTTTAGATCTACTTAACCCACGCAGATGGTATAATTCATATTCGCTCTTATCGTCGCTCATCTTGTCATTCTGGAATTGCAGAACAGTCTCAACCCTATCACAATTTCACACTTGCAAAATATGGTACGGACTTTATAGTTGCATTATGCAAAAATTGTAAGATAGTGGTTTGTCGAATATAACTGAGAATATTTGCAATGCGCACTTTCAATGAAATCGAATTTCATCTCGTCGTAATGTGGATAATTAGCAACGTTTGAATCAATTTGAATAAATGAATGAATGAGTGAGAAGTTTCATTTTAATCACGTTGCATATTAAAGCATCCTTAGAAGCATGTCTCAAATTTTCGCATATCTGTAATAACAAAATTTCAGATAACTGTTACCCTGTAAACGGAGTTAGCGCGAGGATTGAAATTGATTCATTATCAGCGGTTGTATTTATTCTGTTGTCATTTGCAATGATTTACGTATTGTGATTGTTTCGGGTAGTTTTTTTTTCTTTTTTTTTGCTGTTTTGAGTATTTTGCTTGCATTATTACGGTGGAGTATAGCTTTTGTGATGTCATCCACGCAAATAATCATTAAATCGATGACGTCATTGCAAAAATGAATTCCTAATTCTATTTTGCGAAAGGACTATTTCACTCTGCAGTGTTCAATATGAACGAATAAAAGCAAAATATATAATTGATTGCGACAAAAAGTTATACTTTCTCTCGATTACGAATAGGCAGATTTAATTTAAAATACCAGATTGAATGGAAGTGATTCTCACTCAGCTTTTATGAATGATGAATAAGCAAACTTCCCATGCAAGCATAAGTCCGACGAATTGAATAAATTTATCTTTTCCTCTTCCCTTCCTTCACAAAACCACATAAGCGGTTTTCTTTTTCAGCGGGTCAGGTTGGATACAGGTTTGCGATACTCACAGTACATGTTATTCTCGACTTATTCACACTATACTAGACTTCACCATAAACCAATCATATGAATTTGGTTTAACAGTATTTAAACTGTATGATTTGGTGTGAATGTAAGTAGGCCCAATCGGTATGCAGAAAACAGGCAGGGACTGTTCTTATCATCATTCTGATAAACTAATCCTCAAAGATTTCGATTAAAGTTTGTTTTCAAATGAACAGAATCTATCATTTTTTGAACTTTTATTATTCTTGCCATAAATAAAAAAGTCAAAGTGGTCTCTGATCAAGAAAAAGTTAAAAACCTTTGGTTTACGGTAACAAATTGTGTGTAATTATTCACTGAAAAAAGATTCTTGCAAAAACAATGAAAAAAGAATTAGTCAATTTCGCTTTACCCTTTTTCTTTTTTTGTAACATGATGTAAAAGAAGGGGTGAATAAATTGTTATTACGATAAAGGGATATGACAGGTAGAGAATTGGTTGTTGTTTTGCCCAGAAATTTTCCCTAGAAAAAAATTTGTTTCGTTTTTTTGACAAAAAAAAAATCTTAACGAGTTTTTGCGAGATGGATTGAAATTTAATTATGGATAGGTTTAAATGACATTTCAATCAATGCATAGTAGGATTCATTGAAAGAGTGAGAAGAGTCTCTGAAGGTTCGTACACTTTCCTATCTGTTTCTTACCAGTCACTATTTTTTTTTTAGTGCTCAATCTTTGCCATATGCGGCATTATTGATCGGTTAATTTTTGGGATGAAGGTATACTGTATTGTTATAGTTACCTTACCGGTTAGTGATAAATACGTTTAACTTTATTTTTAACAATTTCAAAGTTAAGAAAAGCAGGTGGTACATTACAAAAATTCCGCAATACATTCCATCAAAAAAAAGAATAACTGTTCTTTAGCAGCCGATCAGCTATACCAATCTTTTTTTTCTTCAACCATAGATTTCGGTTGCACTATAAAGAGAATAAATGATAAAGAAGGTGGGGACATGATTGTGTCGCACACGGTAACACATTCCATCATCGTCATACCATTTTCACACTTCTATGATCAAACTTAAACTTTTCACCACTATTGTAATTATTGTTTATCAACTTCCACTACTGTTAACACTAACAATCTTCCTTATTTTTGTCATCTTACATAAAGCGCTAATTAACAACATTGATGCGGAAAATTTTAAGCGATACTTTTATATGTTTTGTATACTCCAGAGCAAATATTTGTTATTTAATAATTGATAATCACTCGTAAATCATTCTTCTTCCTTATTCATTTTCAATGAAGAAGTTAGTTATTAAAATTTCTAGTAACTAATAAACTTTTTCGTCCTAAAAGTTTGTAGTGTTTCAAAATAAGCAAATTTTAGGAAGCTGGTGATATCTGGATCAACAACAATAATCGAACACGGAAATGTTGGGTTTAGTGAATTTACCCAATGAATCTATTGATTTCTATGCACAACCGAATAGTCATAGCAATTTTGCATTTCTTGGACAATGCAGAAATAAACCGACAGTTTCATATACTAATGGTTAATATTTTGTCTATTTTAGAGTGGTTCATATGATTGTGAAGAAATCAATATTTCCTTATCTCTTGCATATCATATCCTTTTCATTCCTATCTGGGAAGTAAAAGTTAAAAAAGAAAAGAATACCTTTAACGTTACTCGAAATATGAAAAATTAAATTAATGATAAAGTCAAAGAGGAAATATAGCTAAATTATCGAAGAAGAAAGTGAATGATTTGTTATCATTTCCTTATCTCTTGCATATCATATCACCCTATCATTCTTTGTCTCTTGCATATGTTATCATTTTTTTCATTACGGATTATTTACGAGGATACAATTTTTGAAACATATTAAAATTTTTTTGAAACATATTAAAATAAATCTTTTCATCAATTATCAGCATGATACAACGAATGATTATGATGGCATTATTATCAGAGCTAATAAATAATGCTTAAACAGAGTTTTATCGAATATTTGCAAATGAATGAGAAATGGATCGATGTTTTATAGATGGTCGTCGAGTTATTGATGGAAAAATTGAGCACAGGAAAGAACCGCATGAGATGTGGTGTAATTTACTAATTAATTTATTCATTAAAAGTATTACAAAACGTTAACGATTAGAAAGCAACAACAGCAGTATGAGTGGTTCGTTTCTAGACTACTTAACAGTGATTGCATACTTTTCTTCTTTTTTTTTGTTGTAGTAGTAGAAAAAGAGTT